AATGAATATACAAGAAAATTGTATAAAGTATGGCCAGCTTTAATGCTGGGGATTGCCCTGCATGCTGCCTGCCCTGGATGCATTGTCATGGTGCTGACAGGCAAGACCGGCCCCGGAGCATCATTGGATGTTGGGTGCTGGTGGCTGGCCCACTCATACCATTTCAATGCGTGGCACTGATACAGGGCAAACTGCTTCCTTTCATGTCATATGATTGTATAAGTGAAATGAATATTAAAGTGGTAGTAAACGGGGAAAAAAAAATCCCCTACAAAATCTTTACCCTGCAAGTTAACAGCATCACAGTCAGGCCTTAAGAGTTACTCGCCACCAACAAACACACACAAACAGAGACACCTGTACACACACACACAGACATATACATACACACACAGAAACATGTACACACGCACAGACACATGTACATACACACACATACAGACACATGTATACACACACACACAGGCACGTACAGACATACATTCACACAGATACATGTACATACACAGAAGTACACATGCACAGACACATGTACATACACACAGACACATGTACATACATACACAGACACATGTACATACACACAAATACACACACACGTACATGCACGCACGCATACACACACACACACACACACACATATGACATATGGTTTTGAGGAAAGCTGGATATCTTGGATTGATTCACAAGCACTGGTTGACCACTCTAAATTGGGGTTCATATGATTCTGGTAAGCCTCCCTCTGTTGTATTCCAAGGTGCTGTGTGGTTTATCATTAACCGCTTCCCCACTGCCCTATAGCAGATATACTGCTACATGGCAGCAGGGTTGAGCAAAATCACGTGTATATATACGTGATTTTGCATTTCCGGGTAGGGGCGCAGTGATTCCCTGCCGGCGCCCGGTGATTACCGAGGATCTCCGATAGGGAGGAGGGCTGCTTTGTTTACTAACAGTCCTCCCTGTCAGCTCAGACACACTGCTCTGAATGACTGTGCACAGCACAGCCATCCAGAGCAGTGTGCGTGCAGTGAAGCACCAACAGCCCCCCAGTAAAACCCTCCCAGCACACAGTTAACCCTTTGATCGCCCCTCATGTTAACCCCTTCCTGCCCAGTGCCATTAGTACATTGTCAGTTTTTTTGGGGGGTTTTTTGTCGCACTGATCACTACATTGGTGTCACTGGGGATGTCAGTGACACCAAATCAGTTTCCCCCAGTGTCAGGTTGCCCGCCGCACCCCGCCATAAGTCACTGAGCACCGCCAATACTAGTAAAAAAAAAAACAAATTACAGTGTATATATACTGCCGTTTGTAAACGTAACATAAACCAATTAATTTACACATATTTTTGGATTTTTTTTTTTTAGCCAATTTTTTGTACATTTTTTACTGGACATGTTTGATTGCAAAAAATCAAAAATATAGTTTTTTTTTCTCAAAATTGATAGATATATATATATATATATATATATATATTTAATGTGCAATCAAATACCACTGAAAGCTCAATTCGTGGGGAAAAAGGACATAAATTTCATTTGGGTGCAGCGTTGCATGACAATTGTCAGTTAAAGTAACGCAGCACCAGAACGCAAAAAATGTCCTGGTCAGGTAGGGGGGTACATCCTCAGAAGGGCAAGTGGTTAAGGAGTTTGATGGTGTTTGGTATCCACATTTGTCAGTTCCCTCATAATCAAAAAACCACTGAGTTCAGTTTTTTTGCTTCATATTTGGATTCCTTTGTTTTATTTTTTAAATTTGTGGTGACACATAAGAGTTTTTGATATATTTGCATTGCATTATTGTATTGCACATACCTATTATAGGCTTACCTGTAGGTATAAATAAAAAAAAGAGGACTTTACTACCACTTCAACACGATATGCTATGTGAACACTCTCAAATCGATTAGTAAATCAGCCTCGGTATCCTCAGTAAGCTGCTGCTTCTTCCCTTTCCAGTCATAGGGTTGACAACACTATATTGCTTGCCTGTAGCAGTGAAAAACTGAAGTGTATGTACACCCAAAATATTTTTTTTTTTTTGTTGGATAAAGTAGGGAAGAGTTAGCGCTCCAGGCATAGCACATACAGCATTAATACTGAAAGGTTACTCTCTTGATCTCTTTCTAATTATTCCCCTTTTTTGTGGGTATGCCTTACTATTTTATTACACGGAAATATTAATAGTCTTGTAGTAGTCACTCCTCCTCATTAGTTTCCAATGCATGACAAGATGCGTGGATGTTCTGTTAGGAGAAGAGTTGGGTGGTATACCTTTTGTTGGCTGCTCAGACAATATAAAGGCAAGATTAGATTTTCAACCTGCATCTTACTTTTATTATTGTGGTAATTGATCCTTCATTGTGAACTGCTTAAAAGAAATGAATATCTATGCCCTACAATTTAGCTATTTCAAATTCTATCAGAACTTGTTTGTAATTGTATGACCCCTGCTGTTGGGGAGATTGTAAGGGGGTGGGCCGATGTTTTTTTGGGGGCAGGTTAAAAAAATGTTGGGGTTTTTTTTTTTTGTAAACCATGTCAAAAATTTTTTATAAAAATAGTATAAAAAAAGGGATGGGTTAAAACCCCAGCCAGGCTATTTATTGAGGGGATTTCTCTTTATTTCCTGTGACAGGGATGCAAAAGGAAGTTACAGGAAATTTCCCAAAATGAGGGGTGTTTCTCCAAAGCACATGTCCCCATTGGAAGGTTTCCTCTTACCTCTTGTTCTGGGAACAACACCAAAATTATGGATTTATGAATATTATGGATATGAATTTTATTTCAGAATGACAATGGTCTCCAGAACAAATATAAAGGGTGAATCTTATCAATGAGAATAGAGACGGCAATAAAATCTTAAGAGGATCTAACCATTCCCTGCGATACCAAAAACTAAATTAAAAAAGGGTTTTACCCTGATATGATGTCAAGCAGTGGTGTCAAGATTAGAAAAAATGCTGAACAGAGTTGCTTATTATTTGATGGGTAAGACAGTTCGCAAAAATGTGTTTGTATTTGAATTTTGTTTTTATTATTCACTTACAGTTTAAATATACTAAGAAATTACCAGCTATTTCCATTCAGTGCAAAATATTGTGCTGTTTACAGTATGGTATTCTTAGAACAAAGAAAATTATAAATACAAAACTATCCTGTTTAGCTGTTGCTGCTGCATTATTAAAGCGTGTGTATTTGTTCTTGCAAGTATGGCTAAATATCAAGGTTTTCCTGTTGCATTCCAGATGGGACATTCACACAGGCTAATGAATCATTCACCATGTCCCTGTGTCTTTTCTGATTGGCTCTGTTTTGTGTCAGTCACCTGAAAAACACTTTCCCACAAGTATCGTGGCAGCAGTAGGAAACACCACATGACCCATGAAAAACTTCTCATCCAACAATGCTCTGCCAGAGAGCTATAAATTAACTGGGAGGTCTTTAAACCTGGTTAGCTTAATAGTGAGTAACTGGAAAGACAGGTGTACAACCTACACTGCTGCTGCTACTCAGGTAAGCGTATTGTTCCTTGTACCTGGCTGAGGGATCTAATCTGTGTTCAGCTTAGTACAAGTCATGTTTTGAACTGCTTTATGCTACTCGCTAAGCTGTAAACTATCATTGAGCTGGCCTTATAAAGTATTAAAATGCTTTTAAACCTAAATGTAATTTCAAGCACAGTATTTCATATTTTCCTGCATTTTAAGTGCTTTGATCCCTCCTTCAAGTTAACAGGAATTCATGTTACACACATTGCAAACACTTCACAAACCAATGTCAAATGCGTGACATTTTTTATTGAAGGTATACTGTGTTAGATTTGCTTTTGAGTTTGATGCATGTGTGCTATAATTTTAAATGTAGAAATGAAAAATATATGCACATTTGTTGATAAAAAAAACTCTTAAGTATTAAAAAAAGGCTTTATGTGTTTGTTGGTGAATAGGAGTAATGGATTTACTTTGTATTATGCACATTTTAAAGTACGCTTGTCAGAAAAAAAATTAAGAATGCCCTTATTCACCTCCTCCTGAAAATGTTAGTTGTCTGGCTGTGTTTGGCTTCTACATTTCTAAAACTCTGATGCAACAAGCATGCAGAAAGTAACACCCAGGGTCCAATCATACACATTTTTACCGTGTGTTAACATAATGTTATTCTCAAAATTGTTTGAAACCATCACAAATCTTTCAGTCCTTAAATGTTTAGAAGCTAAAGGATTGCCGTAAACGAAACTGTAAAAGAAAATGCTTCCTACAGACTGAGAAAAATCATTGTCTTTATGTGCAGGATTAATAAAGAAATGTTGATGGAGAAGGAAAGATAAGTGTTTGGTGGAGGGGTTGGAAATCAGCTGGCATTATATTCAAGAAGGAGATGCAGTAAGGGGATCATAACATGCATTGACCCCTTATACTGAGTGAGCTCAAACCTTCTGGTGTGAGTGGTAGTTCAGTGTGTGGTGGTGGACACATCTAATGATTTAAAAGAAACTTGCTGTGTGAACTGTTCTTTATTATGTTTAAGGCAGAACTACACAGTATCTGAGCAGCATAAAACAAAAGTGTTATTTCATTTTAATATTCAAAGCAAACTCATCCATTCATGTCTGTGCTTTATTTTGCTGAGAAGTCATTTAGAAAAACACCCCCTAGCATTTCTGACTGTATCCATCTTGAGAAAGGGCAGATGATTCATATAGCAATTACTTAGTGAAATCCATCTGTCTGCCCTTAGCTCAGACACGAAGACAGGAGGGTGTGCTTAGCTGAGAACCCCCCCCCCCCCTTCCCTCCTGAGATGTATGACATCAATTTCCTAACCGAGAAAACAGGAAGTAATTGAAGAAATATAAAAAAACTGTTTAAAAACAAGTAAATATAATATACCGTATTTTTTCGCTCCATAAGACGCACCTGACCATAAGACGCACCTAGGTTTTAGAGGCGAAAAACAAGAAAAAAAATATTCTGAACCAATGGACTGCAGACACAGTACAGGGGATGACCAGAGACTGCGGACACAGTGCAGGAGATGACCAGAGACTGCGGACACAGTGCAGGAGATGACCAGAGACTGCGGACACAGTGCAGGAGATGACCAGAGACTGCGGACACAGTGCAGGAGATGACCAGAGACTGCGGACACAGTGCAGGAGATGATCATAGACTGCGGACACAGTGCAGGAGATGACCAGAGACTGCGGACACAGTGCAGGGGATGACCAGAGACTGCAGACAGTGCAGGGAATGACCAGTGACTGCAGACAGTGCAGGGAATGACCAGAGACTGCAGACAGTACAGGGGATGACCAGAGACTGCAGACAGTGCAGGGAATGACCAGAGACTGCAGACAGTGCAGGGAATGACCAGAGACTGCAGACAGTGCAGGGAATGACCAGAGACTGCAGACAGTGCAGGGAATGACCAGAGACTGCAGACAGTGCAGGGAATGACCAGAGACTGCTGACCTTTGGGGAGAGAGGGGGAGCGGGTACCTGAATTTGACAGGTACCCGCTCCCACTTCCGCAAAGTTGTCCTTCTCTCTTCTTCCCGGGCCGGCTTCTGTGACAGCCGGGTGCCCACTGCGCATGCGCGAAAAGCGCTGCGCTTTGTGAATGGCCCGGCGCCTTCTGGGACCTGTCATGTGTCCCAGAAGACACCGGATCATTCACAAAGCGCAGCACATGCGCAGTGGGAACCCGGCTGTCACAGAAGCCAGCGCGGGAAGACTGTGCAGCGCTGGAGTGAGGAACAGGTAAGGCCCTGTAGGAGACAACAGCTGAGCGGCCGGCCCGGTATTCAAACATGGTGGCGGCAGAAATACCGGACCGGCCGCTTTATATTCGCTCCGTAAGACGCACTGACATTTACCCCCTTTTTGGGGGGGGAAAAAGTGCGTCTTATGGAGCGAAAAATACGGTACTTTTTTATCTACTAATGCTAGCAGCATAGGGATTCAAAATAGTCAATGTTGATTGAGAGAGTAAAGTTCCAGTATAAGGTTCTATCCCACTCCTGCTTATCATATGTGTGTGTCTGTGTATATGACACAAAAACTCCAGAATTAATGTTGACACCTGGTTATATTGAAAAGTAATATTTTATTCCATATCCAAAATTAAAAACAGGTCGAGATGAAAACATGAGATCACTCCATATTGATATAACCAAACACCTTCAGCATTAAGGCCACTATGAAAAAACCTATACAAAGTAAATAAATCATGATTTCCTAGGCATGTATAAACATCATTATTATTACATGTAAGCGGGACTTTAATAACTGCTGAATCTCTATGCGCTATGCAGATAATGCTTCTTCATGATCTATTCTGGTGAACTGGCATATCAACATTCGTGGGTGACACTGCTCAAGCATAAGACGGAGGGGGCATAGTCGGCATCATTCCAAGTCTGTGGACCTCTACAATCGCAAGCAGGGGTGGACTGACCATTTGGAAACTCGGGCACTGCCCAAGGGCCCAGGGTCAGTAGGGGGCCCCATGAGATGCCCCTGCTACTTTTTTCATAGGCTTTTTTGAGTTTGGGCAAGGACACGGGCCCCATGATCCCCTATTGCCTGGGGGCCCCATTAGTTGTCAATCCGCCTCGATCGCAAGTACATATGTAGGGGGGCACAGCACACCCAGAATATATACTGAGCAGGCAGTGTAAGAGCCCAGTGCCTCCAAGCTGTCTCAGTCAGAAAGTGGACCAAGATCACATACTGTCTAGATAGTATAGCGACATGAAGTCTCTCCTCTTGCAGAGTCAGTACCAGACTAAGGTGTCCATTTATTAACCTCCCTAGCGGTTTGATTATGTCAATATTTCTGTGCTCAAAGCGGTACATTTTTTTGTTTTTTTGCATGGAAATATGTTTTGGTTTTTTTTTATTGTAGGCCTGTAATTTTTAGGAATAACTCAATGAAATCTGTTCGAACAATTGTCTAGTAAACATCCCGGGTATGATAAAATTTGAAACATGAAATCATAAATTATAATATAATAAATAATCATAAAAAATAATATAATAATAAAATTAATTCAACAATATAATTAAACCAAAAACACTGAAATTTGAAATATAGTGCCAAGTTCACACATCACTGAGCAAAGTCTCAAAATCGTTTTCAGTGTCTGATGACGAATTTCCCCACGAATCATTATCAGTCAATTCTGCAAGTGGTTCTGATTTACTATTTCTGTTCTCTAGCTGGTATAAAATCACTTTTGACCTAAAGGGATGCTTTTTGGATGCCATGGACTTTTTCTCAGTTTCAAGGCAGAAAGAATGGTAAAAATGCAGGCAGGGCACAGGACAAAGCAGTAGGGATAAAATGTATGTGAAATGCTTTGAAACAGTAATGTTTTACTATGTGATTTTAGTGTATTTAGTGAATGCTACTTTTAAAATTTTTTAACTTTCCTGCCGGTTTGGCCCCGTACGTCCCGACGTTCGCAGGGACCGGAACCCAGAAGACGGATGCCAGCATGGGCCGGAGGAGATGGCCGGGGACGCTGCAGGGGGGACATCGCGGGAGTGCAGGACAAGGTAAGTAAAACTGCAAATCCCTGAGCAACGCTGCAGGGTAATCCCAAGTGTAGCTCGGGGTTACCGCTTTTGGCACTGAATTAACCCCGAGCTGCACTCAGGAATACTGCCAGGGGGGTTAAGCAGGGGTAAATTAACGTTGCTGAGTTCTCGGGATTTCTCAAAAGGAAATCTCTCTCCTCTTAAGTGCCTTGTAGTATTGCAGACCAGGTCTCCTTTTGAGAGCTTTACAAAAGCTTCAAATTGTGGAGAACACCTGCTGAATTCACAGCATTCTCAGAGGAGATTGCTCTGCTCAATATCTCACACTATACTGCATAATATTAACCAATTCAATACCGGGCACTTTTACCCCCTTCCTGCCCAGGCCATTTTTCAGGTTTCAGCGCTCTCACACTTTGAATGACAATTGCGCGGTCATACAACATTGTACCCAAACTAAAATTTTATCATTTTCTTCACACAACTAGAGCTTTCTTTTGGTGGTATTTAATCACCGCCGGGGTTTTTATTTTTTGCTAAATTAACAAAAAAAGACCAAAAATTTTGAAAAAAAACACGTTTTTCTTTGTTTCTGTTATAAAAGTTTACAAATAAATAATTGTTCTTCATAAATTTAGGCCAATATGTATTCTGCTATGTCTTTGGTGAAAATAACCCAAATTAGGATGTATTTTTTAGTTTTTAGGAAAGTTATAGAGTTCACAAACTATGGTATAGATCTGAATATTGATCAATCCTGAAGTATCTAATTTCTTGATCTCCAAGAATGTCAGAATAGTACAGATATCCCCCAAATGACCCCTTTTTGCAAAGTAGACAGTCCGAAGTACTTCATAAGAGGCATGGCGAGTTTTTTTGAAGTTGTATTTTTTTTGTCATCATTTTTTGGAAAATGAAAAAATAAAAAAAATTATTTTCACTTTTTTTTTTTTTTTTACGTACTGTCACCAGTGCAGTACAGCGTCATCATATAACTGGCATGGCGGTGATCAGAGACACTGACTGGTGACAGTGTGAAAAAAAAAAAAATATATATATATGTTTTTTTTATTATTTCAAATTTTTTATTACATTTTTTTTTCTTTTTTTTTTAAGATTTTTTTTCATATTTCACTATGTCCAAAGTAGTACAATGTTACCATAGTAACATTGTACTACTTTGGGGAAGTGATCAGTATTTTTTTTTTTTTTTTTTTTTACACAATTTGCTTATAGCAAAGAAATAGTTTCCTATAAGCAAGCATTTACCTAAATGACATCGATTCATTCAGGGTTTTTTTTTTTTTTTTTTTTTGTGCTTAGCTGTGATTTGGCCACAGCTAATCACATGACATGCACATGTGATTAGCTGTGACCATTCACAGCTAGACACTAGTATACAATGGATGGCATGAATGAAGCCATCCATTGTATACAACTGTCCTGCTTTACCAGTTTTGGTGATTGTGAAAGGCAGGGGGGCTTTTTCACTGTCTTGGACACATGGAGCGGCAGGTGCCCCCATAGCAAGCTGGCTGTTATGGGGGCACCCGACAGGAGGGAGGGACCAGGAGAGCCTGCGGGGGACCCGAGAAGAGGAGGATCTGAGCTGATCTGTGAAAAACCACTGCACACAGCAGGTAAGTATATACATGTTTGTTATTTAACTTTAAAAAAAAAAATAAGCCTTTAGAATCACTTTAATGCTAGGCACACGATCATTTTTTTTTTCAACCCAGCGGGCTGAACAAAAAAAAAAAAACTGAGAGGTCACCTTACTAACTATGTGATGCTCATGCAGCTATCTCCCCTGATGAGCTAGTGTGTTCTGGCAGGGGAAATGCCCCCCCGCCAGAATGCACTGATCACCGCTCACAGCCATTGGTTGCAAGCGCTGATTGGATGCTGGTTTTCCAGCATTACCATTCAACAGAAGCCAAACAGACTGCTGTACACACTGAACGAATGTCAGCCAGTGTGTAGCAGCCTTAAAAGTAGATACAGAAAAGTGGTTCCTTATCTTTATTATTTAGAAGCTATAACCTAGTCAGGTCTGCCTTGCCTCTTGGCTACTTGTCTGCTAGCAGGAAGAGTGTTCAAGCTTTAAATGTCATTTTCACATATGAATTACTGGTCAATAACAGTAAACATTATTGGTTTTGCTACTAGCAGCTGTGTATGCTCATAGAAAGCAGGGCTCATGGCTCTCAGCTGGCCCCACTAACGGCATGAATATCGGCCGATTTTTCGTGCGGACAAAAATTTGGCCGATAAACGACCCGTCCATGGCCCGCATTACTTGTATACATACTAGGGCCAATTTAGATAGGAGCCAATTAACCTACCAGCATGTTTTTGGAATGTGGGAGGAAACCCACTCAAGCACAGGGAGAACATGCAAACCTCAGGCAGGTAGTGTCATTGTTAGGATTTGAACCAACGACTCTAGTACTGCTGTGTGGAAGTGCTAACCACTTAGCTACATCAAATGGATGGGCTCTTGTGTCCACGCAAATCGCAGGCTGCACAGATGTGAACCAGGGGTAAAAAGATGTTTCAGCCCGTCTTCTCTGCTCCTCCCCTTCTTTCACAGTCCCCAATCCATAACTTACAGAACAGAGCCAGAGAGGCAAGCTGCACATGCTCAGTTTGGTGTGTATCACTAGAGAGTTTGTTTTTTATTTTCTTGGGAGAGAGCATGTGATCAGCACAGGGCCAATCAACACTGTCCAGACAGAGGGTCAGGTGTCCTGCAGACTCATAGCCTCCTACAAGCTTTAACCAGTGTTCTGCTGTACACTGATAGAAGTCACAAGACTGCTGTATACTG